TCTGTCTGTAATTTAAATGCGTTTGAAGATAAAATAGATGGAACATGGATCGTAAAGGAAAACAAAAATTATTGATATAGGCTACGGTATTGAAAAGAAATCATCGATAATAATGAATGTCCCCATTAAAAGGAAAGTACCTAAAAGTTGATTGATTTGTTTTTGTTGTGAGATCATATGTAATTACATATAGGCTATTGAAATGATTTTTGCACCATAATATAGGAAATTTCCTCCTTATTGCAGTGGTACCACCTGTTGCTTTGTAGACCAAAAATATCCCTTGTTATGATTTTTTGAAACATGCCGTGTTTGGCAGTTTTGTGACGTGTCCTACATGGTGCGACTGACTTTGCTCGAAATGTTCAAACACTTAAGTGCTCATGGTGATCCCTTTGTGCAAGTTTAGAATCTTATATTTCTAATGGTATAAACATTATTCCATTTTACAATAGTTTTTATCCATTTATTTAGAGTTATCGGTAACCAAAACCTTGCAAAATGGACTATTAGGCTTATAGTCGCTGCCAGTATAGAAACCACCTACCACGATTAGGCCTATTATATAGTCGCGCTGCCAGTTGGAGGGTAAAAGTGTTATTTTTCCATTTTTGAATATGGTAAAATCATAACTCATCATCGGTTAAAACATAACTTAATCAGTTTGATTCTTGATTCTGTAAATAGGCCTAATCTGAAGGTAGGCTAAATGATTGTTTTAAGTTAACTTATTCCATTGTAGGCCTACAATTTATAAAGCAGGATCAAACATTCAGGTTTTTTTAACTTTCTGGTTCTTTTTATGTAACTCAATGCTGCTGTTTATGTGCTCCCTCTAGTAAGAGCCTAATGATCATGCACCAACCATGATCTGCCAAGATGAGCTTACAGGAACCCGGGTTTTATGAGGTAAAAATTGGTTTTCCATTATTGCCCCAAATTTTGCAATTTCTTTTTAAAGAAATGTAACGTACCCAGTAAGTTAGAGCTTAAGAAGCCAGCAGGCCTACTTCAGTATTAAAAAGCGTTATTGTAGCCTACGCCTAATGGTTACATAGAAAACTTATACCATGTTATTCTTTTAAAGAAAATTATACAGGGTGGAAAAATGTCGTAGGACGGTCAAATATTTCAAAAAGTAATTAAGCTTTGAAACTTGGTACACAGTTACTGGGCATTAAGATCATTTTAACACATTATTCAAAGATGCGCTACCTCTTCAGGGAGTTTGGCCCGCTAGGAGTCAGAAGGAAATCTTAAATGTAAACTAGTTTGGTATGCACATCAAATTAAAGGCCTTTGTTGGTTAAAATAAAATGCCACTAACCTGAACTCTAACAGACAACCGAGTAAGAAATGACAGCTAATCAAAGATGCATTGAATTTGTATCTTGCTATTATACGCCTTCTCCTCAGGGGGCGTCCAGTTGAAGTTGGAAGAAAATCATAAACGTATGCATAGGTGGCACTTTAAATTAAGGTTCCGTATTTTGTTTTAGTAGAATATAATGCTACAAATTAGAGCTCAAAAGAACTACTGAAAATAAAATGGCAGCCGTTCAAAGATTAAGAATGGCAGATTCAAGGAATATTTGATCGGCCGCCATTTTTTACTCAGTTGTCAGTTGAGTTAAAATTTGTGACATTGTGTTCTACTAGTAAAGACCTTAAACTTTATCGTATATATCAACCTATGCTTAGGCCTACATTTAAAATCTTCTTCTCACTCCTAGTGGGCTGTCCCCCTGAAGAGGTAGTGTACCTATCATTGAATCATTGTTAAAATTATGTTAATGCCCAGTAACTGTGTACCTACCAAATTTTAAAGTTCTATCTTTATTTCTTTTTGTAATATTTAACCGTCCCGTGCTTTTTCCATACAATTGCTATTTGCAACGGAAAAGTTGTTATGTTTATCTAGGTACCTACTTAGCCATTTACTAAACTTCTATAACGTTTCAATAAAAACATACCTTATGACCTTCCATGAAGTAGCAAAACTAACTTAAATTAGCAAATTGTAAACAAACAAAAAATTATCAGAAAATTGGCTACGGTATATTATATTCAAAATTTTAAGCAGTATTTTAGTGAAAATCCAACCTGGTAAATAGAAATTTGCTTGGTCTGCAGGGTTGCTACGGCGGGTGTAACTTATTATAATTTTAGGTCATTCAGGTTTAAGTTTAGTTTAAGTTAGGTTTAACTTGATTAGACCTACTTAGGATTTTCTGATATTCAGCGATTTCAGGGTGGTGTTTTCTCCCAAAAGTGCCAGAAAAAAAATGTAAAATGGACCAAATAATAAAAAAACATAAAATCTTTTTTCATTAGGTTAGGTCTTTTTCTCGATTTTTAGCGCTTTAGGAAACAAAAAAGTGTTGCTTCATTATGACCCAAAAAAATGAGGAATATTATCCAAACACTTGTTCGGAGACCATAAACTGAAGAAATCCTGTAGGCTATCTTCCTTCCTACTATCTTCTCTGAAACATATTTAAAAATGTATTTTGAGATGGGTAATTAAGTTAAGCCTAGCAAGTTTGAAAGTACCGGTACTGTAATAATCCCTCAATCTTAACTATAACTAATCCCCCTTAGTGTGGAGCGAGCTGGTGTAGTGGTTAGAGTGCGAGACTTCGGTCCGTGAGGTCCCGGGTTCAAAACCCGCCAAATCACCAATGTTTTTTATCTAAGTGATAATGCCGCAACCCCTAGGTCTAGCCTGAAGTAATGTGAAAAACAATCCGGGGCTCGTGCCTATCAGTTTTCTACCCAATTGACTATATATTATGGTATTGTTCATGATCCAGGCATTCATGTACCATCATACAGAATTGCTCTCAAGTTAGAATCAGTATTTAATTGTGGGTGTTTTTGTTGCTGGAATTTTCTTATTTTGCCATTTGTAGAGGTAGCAGAAACAAGAGATAGTCAATAAAAATAGTTAGGCTACGTAACTTAAAAGATCGGTTTCTTGTGTATTATAAGTGTAACATAATGGACTGAAAAATAATCAATCAAATTTGTATTAGACCTTGAAGTTGGAATATTTCTTGGGTTGCCATCTTTATCTTACTTAGTTGGGTAGGAAATGTGCATAATAGGGCATTGAGAGCTTTGTTCCTGTAGTATCAAGCTGACTGCTGCTAGCCACCCAGGTCTTGTCATGAGTTGGGGACCCCTTAGCCTTTTTAGGCTAGTTATCTTTTAGATTACCGGTGCTGTAGTGTTTTTTGTTACTAAGCAATTTTTAGTGGGGTATCGTAAAGAGAGTAGTGCTATTGTACTTATTTTACAGTACCTATTCTAAATGTGCTCATTATTGATTCCTGAGAAGTAGTATTAAAGAAATTAAAATTAAGCGTTTAAAAATTAAATTGTAAACTAGTGTACATGTTGCTCGAATTCGAGCAATTGCTAAGTATTACAGGCGGTATTTTTAAACAAATAACAGTCATATTTCTGATGACTTTAAAAGATTCGACTCAAAGATTATGGAAATACTGTAGATGCACATAACAGATCAATATAATCAACATTTCTTGTAAATATCTTATAATTTGTCAAAAGCTGATCTGTGTTTTTAGTGTTTTCTACAAATAGCCTTACTCATAGCCGTTTTAGGTTGTCCATAATAACGGTTATTAATAAAAAAAAAAACATTATTTCTATTTCTTCTCCCTGGTGGTATTCTATGACTTTCCTATGTTTCCATAGTTTGCAAATTGGCTCTTTCATTGATTACTAAGAAATGCGGCACAGTGTTAATTCAGTTTTCTGTTTAGTATATCAAATTATCTAGGCTTTCTCGATTTTTTCCATTGTAATATTTACGCCAAACCAAATGAAAAAATAGTAAATAATTCATTTAAACCACGTCAGTAAATGCAAGTAGGAAACTGTTAAATTAGTAAACTTATTGACTGTTTGCAATCAACATATGTTCTTCTTCTCACTTTTAATTTCTGACAACAGCTGGAGTTTCATAACGATGTTTGTTTCCCATGTTAATCTTATGGAGAAATACGAAACTTTAAAGGGCCCCAGGGCCTCACTCTCTAATTATTTCCCTAAAAAGAAAGTTTCCTGCACAACTTCACGTTATGCTCTTTCCAATGACACCAAAAACATTTCATTCGGTTCAGCAGTTTTGGAGGAGTAATTGTCACAAAAAACCTGCTTGCGTATTAAATAAGTAATAGATGAACATATAAACTTAAGGTAATTCAGGTACTAAGTAGTTATCTATTCTTACTAACAATTTCTTTGATGGGTCAGAATTTGTGGTATTCACCTGAAATTAAGAAAATATCAGGGCGGTTTTTTTAAGTAAGGACCGGTTTTTTTGCGTATTAATCTGTAGTTTGCCTTTTACGCCGCAGCGAGGCTCCTCACCACTTCCTGGCTTCATTTGTGAACAGAATGACGCAAGTTGCAGCTCTGTAGCTGTCATGTATGCATGGGTGTGTGTTAAAAGAAAATTTTGTAACCATGAAATCTCCCGCTGCGTCCCAATTCATCATCATCAAGTTAATAATAAGTATGTCACTTCACATTGATTATATCGTAACTGCGCAACATTAAGGTCAAGAGAAAATGCCTGATACCATTGACTATATAACACTAGTAGTGTTATATAGTCAATGCTGATACTGTCCAAAGCTTAGACCCTAAGTAATTATTTTGGTTTATACCGATATCATGCATCATACATGAATATCAAGCTATCTTTACACCATTAGAAGTTGTTGGGAAAGAACCAAACGGCATATAGTCCTCGCCACCCTAAGTTGAGGCAGCCAAAGGCCGCACGGTGTATATCTAGTGCGGCCTTTGGCTGCCTCAACTTAGGGTGGTGAGGACTATAACAAAATGATTCATTCTCACAGTTATAATCAATGTAGATAATTATTTTTGGGAGGGCCTTCTCAATGATGATGTTTGAAGTTACTGTATCTAACTAGATGACAAATCTTGATGTTGAAATTGTGTTTCAGTTCTGGGAAATCATCTCAGACGAGCATGGTATCGACCCCACCGGAGCCTACCACGGTGACTCAGACCTTCAACTAGAGAGGATCAACGTATATTACAATGAGGCTTCCGGCGGCAAATACGTCCCTCGCGCCATCCTTGTGGACTTGGAGCCAGGCACCATGGACAGTGTTAGGTCAGTCACACTTTCTACATTTGTATTTTGAGCTGCGTCAAATCACAAAACTGTCATTTTGTTTAGTCTTTGTCATTGGAAGTACTGTGGTCAGAAATGCTTAACAAAGACTGTGATGCATTGAGTTCATTTCCGGTGCCGCCACTAAAATTCTATTATTCCAGTTCACTATAATTCTGTACTAACTTAGCTCACATATCTTACCTTAAGTACTAAGCTCAGTTCTTTGGGGACTATGCGGACAAGCGAATGAAAGGTAATAAGTAGCCTGTTGTGTAGTAAACCTGTAAGGGAATAATGCAGTTGAGAAAATGACTAGATAACAGTTTGAGAGTTAAAGACAGTTTTACGGTCATCTCAAAAGTTAAATTTGAAAAAAAGTTGTATGTTTTTAAATTTAAGAAACAGTTTTACTAAGTAATCCTTTATATAACCTTCTACAAGAACAGAATTGTTACTACCTTTCAGAAATATTGAGATCATCATAATAGTAATAGGTATCTCAATTAATATACATCAAAATGATCCTGGCTGCAATATTTCTCTTCCTAACTGAGGATGATGTTTACAGGTCAGGACCTTTTGGCCAGATCTTCAGGCCAGACAATTTTGTGTTTGGACAGAGCGGTGCTGGTAACAACTGGGCTAAGGGACACTACACGGAAGGTGCTGAGCTGGTCGACTCTGTGCTTGATGTGGTCAGGAAGGAGGCAGAGAGCTGTGACTGCTTACAGGTTTGTAACATTTTTGTTAATGTTAATTATACTTGTCTAATATGCTTGTATGTATAAATTCTACTCTTGATATTTTATAACTGTCTTTGAACAATTTGCTGGTTGTTGGATAGATTTTTGAATACCATGGAAAAGGGTGGGTTTATTATTTACTAAAGTTTTCATGAACGTAATGACATCTACAATAAATCTGTTTTTAATTACTTCATGAATGTATGCAATCTTGTCGGTGGTATTCAGCCTGTTTATTTTATTCTACTCATTTTGTTATTAAACTCAGTGCTATACTGTACTCATACAGCTTACAGTAGTGGATTTTTTTTTTTACTCATGAATGTATTTTAATCCTACTATTCTGTTTACAGGGATTCCAGCTGACACATTCCTTGGGAGGTGGTACCGGATCTGGTATGGGAACACTACTTATCTCCAAAATCAGAGAAGAATACCCCGACAGAATCATGAACACATACTCCGTTGTCCCCTCACCCAAGGTCTCCGACACTGTAGTAGAACCTTACAACGCCACCCTCTCAGTCCACCAGCTCGTAGAAAACACAGACGAAACATACTGCATTGACAATGAAGCTCTGTATGACATCTGTTTCCGCACACTCAAACTGTCCACCCCCACCTACGGAGACTTGAACCATCTCGTGTCACTGACCATGTCCGGTGTAACCACATGCCTCAGGTTCCCTGGTCAGCTCAACGCGGACCTGCGTAAGCTGGCTGTCAACATGGTGCCCTTCCCCCGCCTCCACTTCTTCATGCCCGGTTTCGCCCCTCTGACATCGCGTGGTAGCCAACAGTACAGAGCACTCACAGTGCCCGAACTGACCCAACAGATGTTCGACGCTAAGAACATGATGGCTGCCTGCGACCCACGACACGGCCGATACCTCACAGTCGCCGCTATCTTCAGAGGAAGGATGTCGATGAAGGAGGTCGACGAACAGATGCTCAACATCCAGAACAAGAACTCCTCGTACTTCGTTGAATGGATCCCCAACAATGTGAAGACAGCCGTGTGTGACATTCCTCCCAGAGGTCTCAAGATGTCCGCTACCTTCATCGGTAACTCCACCGCCATCCAGGAGCTCTTCAAGAGAATCTCTGAGCAGTTCACCGCTATGTTCAGGAGGAAGGCTTTCTTGCATTGGTACACAGGAGAGGGCATGGACGAGATGGAATTCACTGAGGCTGAGTCTAACATGAACGATCTTGTCTCAGAATACCAACAGTACCAGGAAGCCACTGCTGACGAAGACGCCGAATTTGACGAAGAACAGGAGGCTGAGGTCGACGAGAACTAAGCCTTTTCACATCACCCCTTCTTCTTTTCTTCTTTCCCCCCTTCTTTCCCCAGTCTTTCTTTTTCTAACTTTTGTATTAAAAACACAACCGAATGCATTCCTATATGTGTATTATTTATCAGTCTGTTCCTTCTACTTTTTTACTGTATTAAAAAACATGCATTCCTTTGTGCGTTTATTTGTTCATTTGAATAAAGAATACCCGTGATAACAACATTGTTTTTGTTCACAACCTGAGGCCATCAATGTTAGTATAGCATAAACTAAAAGCTAAAACTTGTCTTATATAAACCAATTGACTTTTCTACTTCCTTCAATGTGATACTGTTTGTTTAAATCAGGCCTACTATAGCAATAGAAAAAAAATTTTCGCTACACTAATGTGAAATTACCTGTTTTTGTTAGATGTTAATCACCTGTGAAAATTCATCATTACATTGCTTACTACCGAAAAAGAATGTTTAATTTGCAAAAGTAATGTTAACTATCTTTTTGGATTTTGCCGACGTAAACAAAGATTTATTATTATCTTCTCAACAGTTTCAATTTTTAACTTGTGAAAATGCTATGAGTTTTGTAATGTTCCTAACAGTTTATTAAAATAAATATCCAATGTCTGTTTTAATTAAGAAAATAATAAGTCTTTGTAGTGTAGCAAAAAGTAACGTTTGAAAAACGAGTGAAAGTGGCTCTATACATCATATTCTTGATAAATCTCGCACTTCAAACATGGTCTCAAATGTGTAATGACTCGCTTTCTACTCTTTTTATGAAATATACTATTGTTGCCTGCTTTTTTTTTTAAGATTCTGAAAAACTCAATTTGTTTTGCTTTCTTTAGCTTGCATTTGAACTTATACAAATTAAGATTTTTTTAAACAGAATCTTCAGTGTTTCTGTAATTAAAATAGGACTTAAAACAGATTTTAACAGCCAAAAGCTAAAAATTGCCTATAGAATAAGTGGTGTCAAATAATCATTGATCAAATAGGTTAAATACACAGCAAACCTAAACGATTATTTGTTAATTTTATGTCAGTGTGTAGCATGACACTTGTGGTCTAGAGGGTCTTTAGGATAGTCCTGAGAATATAAAATGTAATGACAGTGAGTGACCATATTGAATTGGCATTGTTCATGTCTTCCTGCAAATGTCAAAAGAGAAAAAGTTGAGTTTATTAAACAACTTCAGTATTTCTTATCTACAAAAATGTAAAAGTTTTCTGTTTACATTTTTAACTACATATCGATAGAAATTAACCCCAAACTATATTTGGTTTCCTAAAGCGATGGGAAACGGGATATTGCAAATCTATACTGTAATTGTATTGCACTTTTCACTTGCCCAATTGCATTACGGTACTCTTTTGGCTTTAGCGGCATAGGTGTTGGTATTTTTGTCTTCTCAATAATGTACATTTAAGCATCAGTAACACAAAGTATTTCTTCAATACTTATTAATCATTATTTTTCCGACAAAGTCACTTGATGCGCTAAGCTCAATATGAATGCTAGATGCTTACTTACTTTCCGTGTCCGGAAATCAGACTTTGCATTTCCAAAAATTAGCTACCGATATGGCTTTGTCATTCGCATGAAAAAGATCATCTAATGTGCAAGACTGGCCTAGGCATTTGCAGATCAGCAGATGGCCAAGATCCTGAAAAGCACCACACGCGCACAAGATGTTTTCTTCGTCTGGTAAGAGACCCCATTTCTGCATGTTTGTCTTGCATTTTGGTACCTCGACCCTAATTCGATTAAGGGTCTTCCACACCGTGTAATGAAGGCTGCTACTTTTCCAGGACTTTTGCCTAACCCTGTATATATAGTGATGTTAAATGATCTGCTAGCTTTATTTCTAAGAGCAGCTGTTTCTTTATTTAGGATATTTTACTAAACCTGAATGATCAAGGACAGAATTTTTTTAATGCTTGTCTTGTGGCGACCTCACTGTTGGCCAGCACTTACTTATCCAGCTTCTAGCTTTCTGTGCTCTTTAATTTAATGAAAGATGGTAAAACAAACCTGGACCAAAATTCTCTTGGTGACAAAAAATAACAGTGTAAATTTAGGGGATGGAGTTTAAATGCCTCCTTTTAATTTTTTTTTAATACAGGGGCAGTAATTGAAGTTTGGATCTGTTTCAAATGCCACAAAGATTTGAATAGTGTAATTTCCCGCCTCTAGCCATACAACCGGTTGGAGCAGTTGACCAATCAGAGCAGGACAAGCATCCGGTCATTGCTCTCAGCTGATTTGATCCAGCTCCAGCTGTTTCTTGCTTGTGTCGTCGTTTGAGTACAGTTGTGCAAGTGCCGGTTGTTTCTGTCTGTCTATATGATTATAATGGGCTCTGAAAGGTGTATGAATTCAAATTTAAACATGATTCTTTCCTGATTTGAAATCTTTGAAATTGAAATCTGAAGAACAAAGAAGGTTATGTGAAGTGTTGTGACTTGTTCTGTTGGATTTTGTGGTATTTATCCTAGTTTGGTTTTCATCTTATTGTTGGTAGAAAGCTAAATCGAATTCTTATCATTATATGCTTGTTGAATTAAGTAAAGCCCACAATTAACATTTTATGTTTGACAAGATAGCTTATATGACTTATGTCACCAAATGGTTGGAATGTTGGTATATTTTTCATTAGATGCTTTGAAGTGCAAAATTTCTAGAATAAATATAATTAAAGAAACAACTGGCTTACCAATTATATTTCACTATGATATTGATTAGAAACTACTATTCTAGTTCAAAATGAAAACAATTTTTTTTTTCGAAGCGGCTATTTAACATAAATTTAATAAACATTACATCTGTCAATAATTCTGGCTCAACCACTGCTTTAGAAAGTAACAGCAAAGTCTCTGTCGTAATTCTTTACTCTCTTCATCAGTGACAACAATTTTGGGGAGCCCCATACTTTTGATGGTCAATTGCCACGCCTGCTCAACATTCAACCATTCAACATATTATGTTCATCTGAAACGGGCATATTTTATGATTTGTAACATTGATCATGTATTCAATTTTGACCACTGATATTTATAACTTCCACTAATTCTACTCTGATAATAATAATAAATACCCCAGCTGCAGCAAACCTGCCGACTAAGCGAATTTCCATTTGTCTGAATTGATTTTCAGATAAATATATTTTAATAACATTAGGTTTAACGAGTACCTAGGTTTGCTGCTACAAGGAAACTAATAAAGTGTGTTTTTGAGTAATATATTGATAGCTTATTACAAAATAAATAAATTTGCCAAGTTTGATCAAAATATATCCATAAACAAGCAAACTACAACATTTGACAATACTATCCATAAGAATAACATGGGAATTTTAAATTTAAAATTTTTTAAATTTTCTCCGTTACTAATAACCGAACGAAAATACTTTTATATACTAAATTATTTGTTTTTTTAAGCTCTTTAAAAAGGTCTAAAGAGAAATTGGGAAATTTTGTGTTTTGAGGGTCAAAAGTGAGAAAAACCAATTTTTACCCCATAAAACCCCCCGTAAAGCCCCGTTCCCATGGTGCGATCATGCTGGTTCGCGAACTCATTCAAGTTTATCCCGCTTTACACCTTTAAACCAAATTTCATCAAAATCGGACAAAAATTACTCAAGTTATCGCGTTCACGGACATATATATATATATATATATACATATATAAAAATTTGAACAAATGGTGTTTTTGGCCTCTGGGGACATCAAAATGAAAAAGAAAATCGGTCCCGGGTCTAGGTCTTACCGTGCCACCTACGGTGGTAATAGCTACTTTCCTATAGGGAAATTTGCTAAAACCATAAAAAACGCAGGACCCAGTCAAAATAACTGCGCTAGAAAAAAGGCTTTCACAGTCAGTAGACATACTTCAAAGTAGAATCTTGGTGTTCAGGAGATGATTACCATGTTGGCCAATTGCCAATGTTTTTGATCCATTGCATCAATCCTCCAGCTATAATTTTAGCTTGCCTAAAAAAATGGATTGTTGCAATGCATCCTAAAGCGTCAGCCAGTATTTCAACTAGTTCATCCACTGTTACTGATGTGGTCATCCCCAGAAGTCTACAATTTTACAATCTAAATAATTTTGGTTAAAATTGGGTCCAAGTACCAAAAGATCTGTATTGAATGTTTTTTTCCTGCTGGAATCATATTTTAATTTTAAGTCACATACCATAAATTGTTTCTACAAATAATTTTCAGTCGTTAATAATATTCACAGATTAACAATGATTCAACCAAGGCTGATAGCTTGTGCTGCAGCTGTGTTAGCCGTGTCTACAGGAGTCTGGCTACGCAGGAAACGCAGACTGTCCGCAGACCGACTTGTGGTAGCTATTACTGGGTGTGACTCTGGCATCGGCTACTCCACTGCACTGCATTGTCATTGTCGGGGGTTCACTGTGGTGGCTGCGGTGCTCGATTTGAACAGCAGCGGGGCTCAGGACCTTCTGCGCATCGCTCAGGTGATTGAAGATAGTTTTGTTTTACTGAGACGGCTGTCACAATGAGAGTACAAGAGATTTCATTCATCCCACATGTTCATTGCTGAGTAGCTGAGTGGATTCAGTGCTTGCCTGGTTATTAGAACATTTCAAGCCTAATGCTGACAAATTTAAGAAGCTTTAAAAACCGAGACCAGCTGTCCTTGATCTTTGGGCTTTTAATGAATATTGATCCTGGTTATAGAACCAGCTGATCTTGGTCAGTAACATAACAATGCTAACATCTCATTCAACTCGCATCTTTCATCTTCTTGTTAAGTTTGTACATTGCACATTTATGTGCTGGTGTCGTATAGATCTAATCCTAATGTATCATTTACTCACATTTGAAGGCCAGATTTTCAATCAATGAGACCCCAGCAGCTCTCTTTGGTGGATGAAGCTTAGGGGGTTTAGAAATAGACGCGGGATTGCTTCAACTTGATGAACTCGACGTTTTGTTTTCAACTATCCGATTGGAAATTAGACCTAGGAAGGAGGTTAAGAGACTAGTCATAGTAACCAACTATGGGAAGGTATGATTCTGAAATGGTACAAATCGGATACTAAAGGGTTTTTAGTCTACGAGAATTTATTTTTAATCTTCACTCACTTGGGTACAGTAGCTAATCTATATATATACAGGCAAAGCCCTCACTGACTCACTCACTCATCACTAATTTTCTTACTTCCCATTTACCTAGGAGGCTGAA